CTTTTTATTCTTGATAACAATATGTTATGTAAATAAAGGTGAGAGATGAACATTACCTCGTTATAACATGCAACTTGCTAAAGCAAAGTAGATTTTTGATCATAATAAAATATTAAGAGCAATTGATTAGTGTTACAGTGTGGAGGCCTGGCTATGGGGAAAGGTTTGAGCAAAAATACGGTTTTGCAATCTGGCACTGTAACTATATTAGCATGTTGATAAAACATTTTATTGAGGCATAAAGCTAACTTGTAACTGCACAGAATACAATACCATCTCAGCTAATTTTTTTTGTCCCTGAAGTAGGCAATATGGCAATAACAATGATTTCTGTTTATAGTAAATGAAAGTAGTTTCTTGGTGATAGTTACTAGAAGTGTGTGTAGCTGTAAATTTTTCTGCGTTCCTTTTCAAGTAGTCAGTCTTGTATGTTTGCTGTGTTGGTTTTTTTTTTATTTTTTTTTATTTTTTAAGTTTAGTAACATTGATTCGGCAGCCGTCAGAACTGAGAGGTGTTACTCTTCATCAGCAAGAGAACAAACCTGCTGCATTAGGGAAAAATAAGACTGCCACGCCTTCTTTTCAGGTCACATACCCATTATTTACTATGAACACATGTTCTGCTGGAGGTGCTAATCCTTCACAAGCACAGGTACAGAACATATTCACACTAGCTGTAGTCTGCCAGTATCAAATGCTCATAATTACATTACACCTCTTAGATAATTCTAAATGTTTGCGTTTAAGTGTGACTTGAATAGGGATGATCGAAATGATCTGTAGTGCACTTCATTTTTTATTTTAATCTTTAAGACCATTAAAAGTAATTTGCCGCACAAACCAATTGTGTGGCAGTTGTGTCATTTGTAATAACGTGCATCCAGGTAATCATCAATAAACCATTAGATTTCTTAGTGGAAGGACTTTTTTTCTTGCATTTATCAGCGTATCTGCGTCATCTATACAAGACAAGAAGGAGACAGTACCATTTTCTGTGCTTCCTTTTTTTTTTGTAATTAATTTCGATAAGATTTTTTTTTTACTCCCAACTTGTAGTAACCTCTGAAGCAAGAGGGGTAGCATGGCACTGAGAAGTGTCAGAGGTATCCCCAAAAAATTCAGCAGTCTGTTAAGATCCTGTGGTTGTGATGTGCAGAAGTAATTGGGATTTATTCTGATACCATACATTAAATCACGGGGCTAAAACTTAACAAGTTAACACAAAGACATCAAAATAGTCTCTTATTTATGTATATAGTCCTCTAAGTAACTCCTTTTTGGTTTTCACAGACTTCTGGAACGTCTTGCGCTATTTTGGAAGCTGCCAAGCATCAAGACCTTGGGCTACCCAAGACATTCTCTTTCTGCTATCAGGAAATTGAATCCACAAAACAGACGGTGGGGTCTGTGAATAAAGCTTTGCCTGAGGAAGTTTGGATTAAAGTTGGAGGTAAATTATCTTCTTTTCACTTAGCTGTCTCTTGGCCTTCAGATCTCCATTTTTTTTCTGAATTTGTGTGGTTTTTAGAATGGATATGATTTTAGTGAATCACACGGGGTGTGGTTTTTATGTCTGAGATGCACTATAGGCAATATGGGACTAGAGTCCTCAAAAAAAAAAAAACCAGCTTGAAATGAGAAAACTCAAGATTGCAAAGTACCTTTCCAAATCTGGGCCTAGAGTGAACAACTGGTTTCTTTCGACACTTTTTAACCCCAAAGCTGATACAGCAGATCCAGTCAGTATCAAACTGAGGAACACTTAAGGGCTGCCTCAAATGCTAATCAAAGGCAGCATGATCTGAGAAAATAAAAGCTGGTTGGATTTTGAAACGGCAAGTGGTGCCTTAGGGCTTCCAAAGGACGCATGCTGCTACGAGTCAATCCAGGTTCGCAATAAAGCTTCAAAGATTATTCCACATAAATAAAACAACAACAAAAAAATGTCCATGATCTTAATTTTCACTGATTAGTGGGAGGGTTATAAAGAGGTTCTTTTCCTCTTTGTTTCGTTGTTTTTCCAAGAAGACACCTTATGCAAGCAGACGATAAACAGAAGAAGCTGCAGCCTCATGAGCCCATCGGAGACAAACGTAGATCGCAAACCCCTGAGTGAGATTCAGAATATGCACGATGATAGCCAGAGTACTGCATCCGCCCAGGGTCCTTGGCAGTCGGCACACTCAAGTATGCAGGTGCAAAGTGGTACCCAGGATGGAATCGCTCAGCGAAGAGAAAGACATAACCGCATGGAGAGAGACAGAAGGTAATTTCTGTGAGTGGCGAGACAAAGTTTTGAAGCCTAAAATCCTGATACTGTAATACTCCTGACATCATCCAGAGTAAAATGTAAACTTGACATGTTGTTTTTACCAGCAAGAAAAGCAGTGCAGGTGGTGAGCGTTGGTTTGTCAGAGGAAAAAAATCTGTATGTTTCATTGTGGTTGTCTTTGTTGATTTTTTACTCTATAAACAAACAAAAAGAGAGATATCAAAATATTTAACTAGTTCTCTGAAGATAAGGTACCTTGCACATAACCTGACTAATAAACAAATACAAAGCTTCTAGCAAACAAAAAGTCCCCAAAGTCCATGGCTTGTAGAGCATGTGAGTAGTCTTCCTTTTAAATTTTTTTTCCTTCCTTCTCACCCATCAGTTAGTAACCTTTTGTATTTGCCTGTAGGCGCAGAATCCGGATTTGTTGTGATGAGCTGAATCTTCTGGTTCCATTCTGTACAGTTGACACTGACAAGGCAACAACTTTACAATGGACAACTGCGTTTCTGAAGTACATTCAGGAAAGGCACGGCGATTCTCTGAAACAGGTTTTAAATCTAATTTCATTTTTGTTCTTGCTCAAAAATGTGAAATGTTTTAAAGCTATCGTAACATAGCTCAGTGTATGTGCTTGATGCTTTTTGTGAAGGACCTCTATAGCATTGAAATTTCCTTTTAAATTTTTTTTTTAAAAGCTTTTAAATACAATGGTTTCAGTTCAGTAGTGTGAAATCTTAGGCTGTCCTCAGTCAGGGTTTTCAAATCAGATTTTTAAATTATTGTGGGGTTTCTTTTAGGTAGCCCAGTTTCTGAAGATGATACTATCTAGACAACAGGTAGCACTGTGGTCCTCTTCAATCATTCTTCCCTTCCCTCTCTTCCATAATTTTCTCTATTTTCTGCTTGTTTCACAGAGTTGTCTCCTAGCTAGCTTTCATGAACAGGTAGTACAGTGATGGGATCCACACTGCCGCAGGGTGGGTGAGAGCAGTCAAGGCTGCCCTATAAGCAGCTCCCCTGCAACTACACCAGTAGTTGCAGCCCCAGGGTAACTCTGGCTCTAAGTATCCGAAGAGAGTAGATGGAGTACGTATAGGAAACTCGTCTAGATACTGGTATGGCTCCTCAGCACTTCCTAGTAAAGGTGTATCATTTTTTTTCCTCAAACACTAGAAAAACAAAAACATACACCTCGAGTAAACACCTACATTAAATTTTTTTTTTTTATTTATTTTGATTTTTAGGAATTTGAGACTGTGTTCTGTGGTAAAACAGGCAGGAGACTAAAAATAGCAAGATCAGACTCATTTGTAATGTGTCCAGAGCAGGAAAACATGCCTGGCTGTGGAGAGCAAGTAGTCTGAACTGACCGCCTTGAACTGCATGACGAGTGTGGCTAACTAAGGGTGGCCAAACTGGATTTTATTTTCTCTACTTACATGCTGAATATGAATTGCAAACTGTAACTTGTAAAAATATATAAATAGAGCATTAAAGAAAACATTCTTTATTCAACATGGAAATGAAAGTTAACTATTAGCAATAGCAATCAGTGCTCTGTTAAAGGGGCTTTGAACCCAGAATCTCCAAGAAAATGTCATGACAACTAAGTATTTTTCCCCTTTAGTTGTAAAAACTGTGTTCTTCTTCTGTTTGTGGTTCTGCTTTGTTTTTTTTTTTTTATTTGAATGATCTAGTACAGTTAGGAGTAGTTGTAGAACATCAATCTGTCCTGTTATTTTAATGACTAGATGTAAATGTATTCTTCAAATGTAAAAAGAATTAAAGTTACCATATCTTAATGCCCATTTTTTCCATTAAAAATTTAAAGGCTATATCGGTTAACGAAGTGCATAGTTTCTAAACTGTGCTGATATTACAAAATTCATATTTGCCATAAATATTTTAACATTCTTGGCCCTGAAGAGTTATACAATGGTGTTAGCATTTTTTTTTTTAAAATCCAGTACTGTTTTTAATGTCTATCATCACAACTGTCCAACAGGTTCTTTAGTTGTTACTTTAGTCCAAGAGTGGCATATTGTAAGCAGTAGATTATTTAAATACACAAACTATGTTCATATTTAAAGATTCCTATGACTCCTTTGTTCATAAGCGTTAGCATATAGGGCAGAAATAGAACAGCGTGTGAGTTGAGAGTGGTTTTAATAATTTTTTAAAATAGATGACACTAGCAGGTTTTAAAGTACAAAACTCTCCCAAAATAAATACTGTCTTAAATCACGGATATGGACAATTTTGCAGCAATTTATTTCCAAGCCATTCTAGTAATAGAAGTTCTGGAAAAGGAGTTCAGCTGAGTTAATTTGATGTGTATAATGACACTTACAACATCACAAGGAAAAGGTTAAAAAAAATCTCCTTTTATTTTTACAACAGGTCATACAGGTTTTTTTTTGGCTGGGCTTTAAAAGAGCATCCTCTCTCCTTTGGGGTTTCATTCACAATTACTGTGCAAATAGCTGAAGTAGAGGTCGTGAAAATGCTGTTACTTAATTTCCTTTATTATCATATGGAAATATACAGAAACTCTCCCCTGTAAATTAAAATAGCATGTTAAGGTGCCTGAACACCTTCACAACATGTGTCTTAGTGCACAAACCTGTGTAACTGGAGTCAGTGGGAGCAGCACCAAGGAATTAAATCAACAAGGCTCAAACATTTCTACAGAAAAGTCGTGATCTGTAGTACGGTTAGGAGCAAAAAGGAACAATGCTTCCTCTTGTAGGTCTCTTGAACAAAGGGAGAAAGGGAAGTAAAAATTCTGGAAAATAATTGGGGGGAGGAGAAAAATACTCATAAAGCATCTTTTAATTAAAGTTTTCATCTGATGCTTTCTTTTTCACAGAACTGTGTCAAAGTCTCCACTTAATGTAATAGAAGGAACATGTGTCCATTTATCGCTAGAAGGATTCTGTCTGTTTTCTTACAATGCACTGTTTATTTAAATATTCAGTCACTTCTCCACTTCTTGTACTGTTGTTTTATGATTTTTTGGAAGTTGATGCTCCAACAGCTCCCATGCAAGCCGACGTGTCACATATTCCTGGAGTTCCCTGAGCCCCAATAGCACCGGGAGTACCAGGATCCCCTGGAAGACCGGGTTCACCCTGAGCACCATCACGACCATTCTTAGTAATTCCAGGTACACCAGGTGGCCCTAAACAAGAAGGGGAAAAATAGTACATTAATTTCCTTCCTTTAAAAACCTATATATATATATATATATATGTGTTGCTTTTAGAGTTCTTAAAATACTTTTGAGTGTCTGTACATGAGACTTGTTATGGCCTGTTGAGTACAAGGTGTTGAATAAATTTAGCCTGAATCTGGAGTATGTGCGTTGGATTTTTTTAGACTCCATGAATAACGACGGGTAATTTGTAACTAGAATTATTTTATGTCATCCCTGATAGTTTGCTCAAGGGATGTCCTGGATGGGCGAGCTCACAGCTTACTTATTTTGACAACTGTCCCTCCTTCCTGACCCCCAGCTTGCTGTTTTCTGGGAGGCTGTGACACTCAGCTGCTTGAATTCATGACACCCCCTTACTGCATAAGGGAAGGAGAGGAGAGAGAAGGATGATACAGAACATCTCCCTCACATTATAGATAAGGAATTTCCTTTATACCTGTGTCTAATTTTAAAAATTTGCTCATGATGAAACATACATTTTGTTTATTGCCAAAAAGACTTTCTGCTTTGGGTAGACTCAAGCTATTTTTTTTTCCTTCAGATGCCAAACATAATTCACAAAACACTGATTTCTGTAACAGCAAGCTACTGAAGCTGAAATACTGTAAAAGTCTTCCTGAGGGACAGCAATATCAGGGGATCTATAAGCCTCCATTTTTGTCTTAATTATGATCGAGAGATGGTGCCTGATTCTTTTTATTCATAGAAGTGATGAACTGCATCTACAGTTCATCTCCTTACATCTCATGAGTGGGACAAATGCTCTCGATGTCAACAAGTTAAACAGAGCCTCTTTTTTACATGCTTTGGAAAAGAAAACATTTATGGATTAATGGAATTATTTTATGGAAGAATCAAAGACAACAACTCTGATTTTATGAAATTATATGGATGCGGAGCCTGCTTATGGTGCCTGGAACTTCATCACTGTGCAGATGTAATGGCAATTAGAGAAGCTGCTTTAATAGGTGAGCAGAATAAAGAATATCCTTCTGAGTTTCTAATTAATCTGCATAAATTAAACTTTGAATGTTTTGATAAAGGATTCATGACTTCAGGTGTGAAGAGGGAATGTGCTAATTCCCTTCTACTGTTCAAACTGCCTGCACCTGCTGTACCATGGGAAAACAACCCCCCTACGAGGATTCCAGGGAGAAAGGGATTGTAACGGACTGCCAGCAGTATGCCGAGCTGGCCCTCTGGAGCCTTTACTTTAGTCATGGTTTATTAAATTAGTTGCACAGCCTTACCTTGAGGTCCTTGGTCGCCGTCAGGGCCATCAATACCTTGACCAACAGGTCCTTTATCTCCCTTTTCCCCAGTGTCACCTTAAATCAAAACCAGACAATTTCAACAATGAGTTGTGTACTGCTGCGGGATCCAGGGACGGGAAGGGGGAAGACCAAGAGCAGCTCAAAATCCTCAGGACATTGCTAGGATCTCTGCTTACACCGCACCCCGAAAGACACAAAACTGCCCTCTAGACCTCCATCTGCTGCTCAGGGCCTGCTCTTTCCTCCTTCACTGATGCAATTAATACAAGTTTGCAATTTATTTCTGTAGGCATGAAAGAGAAGCGGGTTGGTTTAGCCTTACCTCTGGGACCAGGATCACCAAGTTCTCCTGTTGGCCCTCTGTACCCAGGGGGACCACGAGGACCAGGATGCCCAACGCTTCCCGTAGCTCCAGGGGGACCGGGGGGACCGGCTGGGCCAGGACGACCCGTCATTCCAGGAGACAAGGGCTTTCTCAGATTAGCAGCTAACTGTGCAATTTGATCTGGAAAGAGCAATTAAAAAAACCTCATGTCCAACACTGTCCCTCTTTGCTTGGCGTACGTGATACCTGTGTCTAAGCTGCTTTCAGTGCACTTTATACGTCGCCATGATGAATCATTTAAAAATGCTAATTTTAGAAAAATGAACATCCCAGACAACAAGGTGACCTCCTGAATACTTTCCTTACATTAAATGTCAATGTATTTTTTTCTTATTAAGACAGAAAAGTAACAAATCCAGGATCTACTCATCTTCAGCTAAATACAGGAATTAAAGCCAGTTTTCTCCCAGTAATACTCACCATTTATCATTTCCCCACACAGTTCTCTTATACGTTGTTCACTGGCCTCTTTGCCCTGCAATTAACAGAAGAATCCGTCCGTACACAAACCACACCGATAACCATCTCTGACAGAAGCCTCAGGACCTGAAACTCATGTCCAGCAGCTCAGCAAGGACAGGATCCTGCATGAAGGGCTGTTGGGTTTTTCCCCTTTTCAAAAGACGACAGCTTCAGTTTAGAAGCTCTGTCACATTAATGGCAGAGAGTAATTTTAATGTGAGGCCAGATATTTAATCTGGGGCTTATCTGGCCTTTCCTGAATGCTGAAATGAGCTCTGGCCCAGGACACAGGTCAAACATTTGAAGCAGTGAGTAGGAGTCGTGTTTTTAAATGACCAGCCGCTCACTATGTTGCAGTGAGAACAGTGACTCCCAGCCAGGCCCCTGGACACACATAACCTGTTCGTGTATCACTGAGAGAGAAGATGAACTCTCCGAGGCATGCGTTCGGGGGGATTTTCATTCTGAAGCTTGTGAGCTGTTAATCTTCTTGCACTGGCAAACTCCTGCTGCAAGGCTGTGAGCTTGCATGTGCAGTTGCCGCCTTTCACCAGCTCAAATGCAGGACCTGATTTTTTCAATACGCATCCAAAGTCCACGCTCCATTTATTCACTCCAGGGACTGGTACCCCAGAAGCAGACAGTACTTACAGGAGGACCAGGTTTTCCCGTGATGCCAGGAACGCCTCGCTCCCCCTGATGGCCCATGGGCCCTGGGTGTCCTGGGATCCCTGGTACTCCAGCTGTCCCGTTGGGTCCTTGGACACCTTTTGGACCAAGTTCTCCTCTTTTTCCTGGCTGTAATGAAGAAAGAGGGGGAAAAAAGAAAACAACAAAGCTCGTAGAATGGAAGACAGGGTTCATTATTTTCTCATAGGGATTAGTTAACTCTTTCTTTGTGTTTCCCCAGGTCATCTGGCTGATCATGTACATTTCCTACATCGTATGGGTGATTTTACATATATAAGTCATGCCAGAGTCCGTGCTGGAGCAAAACCATCAAACACATTTGAACACTGCAGAAAATTGTCATTGTCACAGATTTTATAGCATGCCTGTGACTTCTAGGAAATGATGCCAGAATATAGCTTATGGAAACACATCATGGACAGATGCAATAAGCATGTTTACTCCCAAACCTGTCAAGGATGAGCCCGCAATGCCTGACACATACCTCTCCTTTTTGCCCAGGGGGACCAAAGGGACCCTGTTAGAAAAAAAAGGGAAGTAAAGAATCATCTGTTTGGAAAATGCACACCTAAAGTCAAATCTCCCAAGCTCTGGGAAGCCGTGATGGCACCTAAGGGGCTCTTCCAGCAAAGGGGCCAGGAACCATAATGGGATGCTGGGGACCAGATTCAGCCCTGGCACAACAGGGAGAGTGCTCCGGTGCCAAGACCTGCCCCAGGCACCAGTGCTGGACGTGGGTCCAGGCAGCGTGGCTGCTCCTTGAGATGGACCAAACCCCCGTGGACACAGCAGTGTGCTCTGAGGAGCAGAACGACAAACGAGCGCGGATCCGCCACGGCTCTGCAAAGGCCACACTGGCCTCTGGGGCTCCCCGAGGACAAGAGGAGAGCTGATGCACACCGTGATGGTGGTGGCAGAAACACTGGGGTTGCCTTCTCCTTCTCACAGCCATCAGGGTTGGAGCTCCTGGATGGTTAGTTCTTACTGACAATGTTAGTTCTTGATACATGGTTCTCTAGACCCCTCTGTTATTTGAAGAGTCAATTCTACTGACTTTAAGGACACCTACCAGTTCTCCTTTGTCACCTGGGAGGCCATCTGCTCCAGCGATGCCCTGAAAGCAAGACACCAGGATTAACACTGCACCCGGAGTGCACAGCGTCACTGACAGCAAGGCTCGCTCCGAGACCTGGCTAACCTCAGCTCCTGAGGGGGATGGGGGCACGGGGTGGTCACGAAAGACATCCACAGGATGCCATTGGCATTTCTCTTCCAGAGAATCTAAAGTTCGGGTTCCCCAGCTCCGGGTCTCACAGAAAACGTGCATTTGCAATGACAGCTCAGTGTTCAGTGCTGTCATTGCAACTTGGTGGAAAGAGTCACCTGCAGAACAGCTTCATCCCACCCTTAAGCAGAAGTGATCCATCACTTGGTGAGGACCAACCCTCTCCACTCTGTCTGGGGACCCTAATGTAAGGGTGGCTAAAGCTCCGGTGACATTAGTTTTGCTGGCCGTGATGAGGAGCATCAATTTGCTGATCAGCTGCATTAAGCCAACAGCAGCGGGTGTCATTAAGAGCATCACTGGCGGTGACACGAATCGCTGCATCCTGCCATCGCCGGCCGCATGGGCAGCAGAGCTGGCTTCCCCAGCAATTAGAGCAGACAATGAGCATTGTTATGGTGACTACATGACTTTAGAGGAGATGTTATTTCAAGAGAAATGCAGGTGGGGTTGGTCTTTCAACAAACCAGGGACCTCACAGACACTGGTAAAACAAGCAACACTTGCTGGAAAAGCACTCGTTTTCTGCAAAAACACAGTCATGCATTAACAAAAGTCATAAATTTGATGAAAACTGGCTCAAAAGTTCATCACTGAGATTAACCCAACTGTGGAACTTAAGCAGCAAAAAGTAAACGATTAAATCAGTCGATAGCCTGCCCAGCTTTGAGGCTAGGACGAATCCTCCTCATCAGGCAAGAAAAACGGGACCAAAGAGGGTTTTTCTGGTGTCTGCTCCGAAGATTTTCATTTGCCAGAAGGGAAAGCAGCTGTGCTGCCTGAGGCTGCGCCTAAGGTTCGGTTTAAGTCCCTTTGCTGACGGCAGCGTGAAAGTTATCTCAGGAGGAAGATCAGCGTCACTTACCTGGTTACCTTTGGGACCGGGAACACCAGTAGGACCCTGGGAATAAGTAACAGAAAGAAGGCAAGTGAGCTCAGACTGGTGTTTTCCTGCGAATTCCTGGTGCGGTCAGTCCCTCCCCAGCGAGGGGCTGGGAATTTGTCCCCAGCTGCCAAGGGGGAGGGACCAAACCTCATTCATGCTTCTTAGAACCAAGAAGAGACGTTAAGCATCCTGGCGAGTTCTGTGCACTCTCTGCAGTCCCCGTTTGTGTCGCAGGACGGTTTCTCAGGCCTTTTGCCGTACCAGCAACGGCTCAGCAGAGCTGCCAGACCTGGCAGGACCTCCCAGCTCAGGTCTGGTGGTCTTCTGCCCACCCAGTCCCCATCCGACCAGACCAGAGAGACCTTCCTGACACGGCTCCCCACCTGCCTGGCACAGGTTACCTGCACCGGCCTTTTTATACCAGCCTCCTCCATTTCCGAAATAAAGCTAAAAGGAATTCTGTGCTTTTTCTTTTTTTTTTTTTTTTTTTTTTTTTTACGCTTGTCTCACTAAAGTCATCTTTCTCATCCATCCCAGGGAGAGGAACTCTGTTTTGCTTCTGCTCCTCTGCTTTTCATTATTGTCATCTCACTATCACAACTGAAACAGAAATTTTACAAATTCACAATTTAAAGTCCAGGATGAAGAAAAGCTTAGCTCAAATTATTTTGATTCAGAACTGTGTCATTCACAGCAGG